TTTCAGATATTTGAGGTTGTGCCAAAAAAAAAAAAGAAGAAGATTTTTTTAAAGGTGAAATATAGAGGTAAAATCAAAAGTAGTCAAAAACGGCCAATTATACTCTGGACCCCAGAGGGTTACTAAATACATTTACATGTCTTGGTGACTGCAGCTGGAACCTTGGCAAAAAGTGTATGTGTGTGTGTGGAATGCTAGCTACCAGCATTCATAATATAATAGTTACAATAGCAACAGTAACCGGGGGGTGGGGCTTAAATGACAGAACAAAGACAGGCTACCATGATGTCACATGCCAGGCCACTATGATGTCACATGCCAGGCCACCATGATGTCACATGCCAGGCCACCATGATGTCACATGCCAGGCCATAAAAATCTATAAATAGGGGTGCCTCGACACACAGTTGTAGAATTCCCTTGCAGGTGATTTTAAGCTAGCGATTGAATTGTGTTTTCAGATGAAAGCGCTTATAACCTTCTCCCAAAGTAGAGTACTCTTCCTCCACCCAAACCTAAAATGTATATTTCTAAATACAGGGAAGCAATTGTATTAGAAAATAAATATAAAATGAACACAGGACCATGGTGCCAAGAACAGTTAAGGCGCCATCTCATCGCGAAATGTGCCCACAGAGGCCAGAAGGCGAAAAACCTGAACACACATTCAGGAAAAAACCAGAACACACAGGCATGAAGAAAGTCATGGCTCAACCTGCTTGTGTGGATACACGCAAAGGGACAAGCAGCTCCTTGAGAAATCTGGACTTGTCCCCTTTTATTTACAGAAAAACGATTACAGAATCGTTCCAGGCTACCTGCGTAGAAGAAAGGCAGAGAAAGAAAAGGCTAAGCAGGACAATGATGCCTGGTTAACAAAACAACAGGAAACAGTTAAACCACTGGCCGAACAGGAGAAACAAAACATTCTCCAGGGCCTAAAGAGGAGGTTTAATGAGCTAAACTTTGAATATCAATCCCTCCCTTTTACTATCTCCCCTTCACAGCACAAAAAATACAATTACAAAATGTTTCTCGAAGAGGCAATGAGTCAAGTTGAAAAAGACATTGCTCTTTTTGAGGAACATAAATACATTTACGTAGGCAGGGAAGATGCATCTGACGAACAACAGTTACAGCGGACTCCACTGCCACCCATTAGACCGAAAAAGACAAAGTTGACACCCGCTCCTCAAGTCACACAACCAACGAAAAAGGAAACTTTCTCGACCGACAACCTACCACCTTTTCGTAGGATGTGTGTTCCACCTATATCCAGAAGTGGAAAGCAACCTATTCCCATGACTGAGAACCTTCACAGACAACCTATTCCCACCCAACTAGTTATAATTCCACGACCTAGTCCTGTCCCTCTGCCACCTATTTGTAAAAAAGCTGAATCTACACCCCGACCACCTGTAAGACCTCCAATGAAACGAGGTGTAACACCCATCCTTCCACCCATTTCCACCAAAAAGCTGTAGTGCTGTACCGTTAGAGTAGTTTTTTAACTACCTAACCCCCAACCGGTCTTGACAGAAGCCGCACCATCTGAGCCTGGTTCTGTCGAAGGTTTCTTCTTTTTAAGACAAAGGAGTTTTTCCTTCCCACCGTCGCCCAGTGCTTGCTCAGATGGGATCATTTGATTGTTGGGTTTTCTTAAACATAAATTGGCCTATTGAAAAAATGTAGTGTTTCTTACTACATTTTATTTTCAATAGACCAATTTATGTTCAAAAAAAAAAAAAATTACAGCAGAAAAGAAAGCATGGGAGACATCTGATGCATTTCATTGCTTTTTAAAAAATAATTTATAATTTATCTGGAACAAATAAAAGAAAGTAAAAATAATCTTTTGTGGATTCTTTTTCTTCAATAAGTAGTAGAATAGGCAGTTCTTTATACATAAAGCGTAGTGTTTTGTTAAAAAATAAAGTGGCACAGCGGCACTGTGTTAAAGGCCTGTGTTTTTACCATCAGCGTGACAGCGTTGTGTTGTTTTTAAGTACTGTATAATACTTAAATATGATCAGTTAGACAAAACCAGCTGATGACAAATGTTTTGTCTTGCTTTGTTTTATATTTGGGACAGTTCTTAACCCAGTTTACAGCATGATTTAGCAGATATACATTTGCCCTTCTAAACAGAGAATTTTTCAATTTCACAGGTTTCACCTCAATTCTTTTATCTGCTGAACTAGAACACTTCAAAATGTGTGACAGTACCAGTAGATAACCACATTTCTGCAAGTTTGTTTTTTGCTTGTTCAGCAACTTCAGCAAGTGGTTATTGATGTATCATACTTTCTTCAGTCGTGATGGATTCTGTTTTCAGACAGGGTAAAACATCAGGATGGTGGCTAATACGGAAAGAAAAATGGATGGTGACAGAAAAACAGAGATAGCTTATACTAGACAGAATGGCCTGCATCCCTTGCTGTGTTCTTTTAATTCTTCAGCAAGGCATTTGATGATGACTATGGGTTCTGGACTTCATGTAAATAATTTTCATCCAAATACTAAAAACAATCCTTATGCAACTTTGTCCAATTCATAACTGGGTACTAAAAGGGCTTCAATTCATGAACAGATGATGCAAGACTTCTGTTTAACATCTTTAATAAAAGCTACGAGTGGAAACTTTCATTTAACATCAAGTCTTGGCAGCATACAGAAGTAAAATATGTAAAAAAAATTGAAATTGCCCAACATTTACAGATTTAATGTGCTATATGTGCATGCCGTTGAATGCATATGTATAGGTTTGTGCATGAGTTTTCTAAGGCTGTGTTGTCATTCTCAGTTTAAGAAGCAGCACAAATACAATGGGCCTGCTGAGCCTGACAGCCATAAGCATCCGTCATAATGAAACTACCTTTAATGAAACAAGCTCAGGAACTGCCCCTAGACACACACACACCTACAAGTTAAGCACACTAATAACTCATATATATAATCTGTGAAATCTCACATAGAGTGCATTTTGGATGTAACAAGAGCACATCACAAGAAAGCAACAACAAATAAATAAATAAATAAATGACACCCCGCTAAACAATAAATATATCACCAGTGTTGGGACTAACGCGTTATTAAGTAACGCATTACAGTAACTACGTTATTATTGTGGTAACGAGCACGGTAACTAGTTATTATGCCAAAACCAGGAACGCGTTACTCGTTACTGGGATTTAGATAGGCTCGTTATTCGTTACTTCGTGTGGTGGCTATCGCGGAGCTTCCACAGATTCAATAACATTAGCAAGTGGTGGAAGCCAGCAGGTGGATGAGAGAAAGGGAGGCAAGAGGAGAGACCCGAAGCGGCCGCCGGTCCCAGTGTCAGGTGAACTGAACTTCAGGTAAGAAGTTATAACCTGCAGTCCATCTGGGTCAGATATGAACCAAGTTTAGGTGGAGTTTATTTTCGTTATGCTGACTTTTTTGTACTGCGTGCTAGCTAGCATGACGGAGTTTCTATACAGCTGGGTGGGTGCTATGTTACTGATGTTGAACTTTATTTTGTTCATAAGGTTAATTATTAGAGTTGCCAACCGTCCCGTAAAAAACAGAATCGTCTGGTATTCAGAGAAAATATTACGCGTTTCTTATTGAGGTGAAAAGGAACAGTTTGTCCCGGACTTCAGCTACAATGAAAAAGACACAAAGCTGGAGTTATTCTGTGTTTACGCTGCACAGCTGCCTCTTCTTCTCTCATCCTCTCACCCTCCCTCTCCTGTTTCTACTTCAATCATGAAACTGATCAATGATCAGCTGATCGGCTTTTCTCTCTTGTTTATTTATCGCCCACTTTGCGGCAGAAAGAGGAAACCAGCGGATGTTGCGCTAAACAACAGCAGCACTTTTAAGCTTGATCAGCTGTTGTTAGAATTTATTTAATATTAATTTCTAGTATCAGCTGATGTTTGCTGGAGCCACAGCTGTAAAGCTGCTGGTCATGATGTCGGTTTGGATATGTGGTGAGTGGGAAACATGAAGATGAAACCAGGAGATGTCCTTACTGAATCATCAGAGCTGTGATGGAGAAACAGGTTTACCTTTTAGTTAACATGAATGAGTTGAAGGGAAGTTATGAACTGTTTCTGAGAGATAAATAACACCAGGATCCTTTTCTAAGCAGCTGACAGCTGGTAACTGTGCAGGGGCGGGTCTAGCAAAGTGTTGCCAGGGGTCCATGTAGGGAATTAAAAGGGAAAGGGGGGCACAAGGAAATACTTTCTTATTCTCATTTAAAATGTCTCACTTTTAAAAAAATAATTATCTGAGTCTTACAACAAACAATTGATAGATTGATACATATATACCATCAGAACAGTGTACATCACTGTCACAACAGTATTTATTTTCATTCAAAGGCTTTATGATTTTTCCTATAATGGTGGGCCGGTCTCTAGTCAAAATGCCCGGGACGATTTTTTTGTCCCAGTCCAGCCCTGTATGCAGCTCATCTGCAGTCTGGTGTTACCTACATCTTCCTATTCAGAAGGCAGAATTTCCGAGTTCTGAGTACAATCGAAAGCACCACGACTGCAGTTTTTGTGTTGGATGTAAAAAGCAGGCTAGGATAGAATCAGGCGTGGGATTTCTCTCGTGGAAATGTGCACATTATTTTTTCCTTTCTATTGGTAGGTGGCACAGTGCACTTGTGGTAAGTAAGCAAGCTAGAAGAAGAATCTTGCTGGGTATCCAGTTACGGAAGCAACACATTAACAAGAGAATTCTGAGTAAAACCAAAGTTACTTTCCCTAGTAACTAGTTACTCTGAAAGTAACGAGTAACTTGAAGTAACTGAGTTACTTTTGATAGAAGTAACTAGTAATGTAACTAAGTTACTCATTTAAAGTAACTTACCCAACACTGTATATCACAGAACTTAACTTTGAGTGAGAAAAAAAGAGAAATAGTCTGGAAACAGATGAATTTTCAGTCACTGACACAGTGGGAGTTCTGGCAGACACGTTGCACTAAGAAATGTCTTATTTTTAGAGACTGACCTGAATGTATGTTAGATACTGGTCAACACTGGAGCACTTTGGGATGCTGTAGCCCTTGTAGAAGCTAAATGCAGGTCCAAACATTTCCTCACTGAACCACACCTTGGCAAAGGTGTTGAGGAGGCGCTTGTCATAGTCGTCGGTCACACGACCACCGTATTGAATCTCTCCAATCATGTATCGAACTGTGTTCCAGGACACACCCTAAGGAGATGATAAAACAGTGATAAAGGATGACAAAAAAATTGTTCATGAATGTGCAATATAATTTGTGAGCAGACTGAATACATACACAGTCAGAAAGCTCTAAAACTCCCAGCAGATGGCTGTTGTTGATAAGTATTTACAATATCCTTTCTTTAAATCTCAACCCTTTTAACATTTTTTTATGGTCAAGAGTCCTAATCACACAGAATAATAAGCATTACTCTACCTACCTTCTTAATATCCATGTCATCAAGATGGTTTTGAACAAACTGGACAGTGGCATTAAAATCAGCCTGGTTGAACTCATAGGGAATATTCCATCCCAGGGGGCCATATTTCCTTCTCTCCTGAACTGTGCTGTGAAGAAAGGCTACTGCATACAGCATCGGCCTCCACTGCGCCATGTTACTGACATCCAAAAGGTCCTGGTTTATACCTGGTCAGGGACATGCAGGTCAAAAAGATGTACTGCATGCCCAAAAGGAGGCTAAGTGTAACATCTACAGAAATGTATTGAAATAATCCATAACTGAATAAAGTCAGTTACTTCTAAAACCAAGCATTGCACAAACATGCACACACAGATTTCCTTTTTAGCGAACAGTTAGGATTTGTTGCGTAAATGTGGGAGAAAAGATAGTGAACTGAATATGTCAGTCAAAATAATACCTTCTTTCTGATATAATACCAAACTGCAATTACTAATCGAAATCAGAATTCCCTAGCAGATCATTACATGGAGAAACCTTTGGAATGCAAGCGCGCGGATCCACACAGGTATGCACACGGGTGTTCACTGCTCGTAGACCCAAATTACACCTTTCTTGGCTGCTACTTCGACGCACATCTGTCCTGCGTGCTGCACAACAACATTGAATATTTAGTATTTACTGCTGTTTACACTTAGCTAGATTAATGCGATGGTGTTGTGTTTAGTATGTTGCTTTGTTTTTTTTTTCTGCTTGTTTTCTATAAAAAAAATAAAAAAAAATTCAAGCTGTAGATACGATCTCAATTCCCCTCCAGGAACCATGTCATCTGAGCCAGGAAAAGACAGCTGGTTTCTACATTTTAAAGATTCTTTTCTTTCTTCACCCTTGTTTTGGACCAAAACACAGACTAGATAACTCAGACTTGTTTAAAATTTTACTAACCTTGGGTAACATGGGTAAAAAACAAAATCCGGAATACAATAAATATAGCATCAAACAGGTGTTTCTCCCACATTTCCATCTTTTTATTCACTTACTTATTCCTATCATGGATATCACGAAGTAGAGGTGTTTTGTATATCTGCATCTCCAAATGTACACATCAATATTGGAATATATTTCATTCTCTTAGGTCCTCTTTCTTTATCACATAGATAAATTGGATCTATTAAACTGGCTAGTATTTCTGGACTTCTTTAATGTGAGCTTAAGTGAGCCAAACCTACCGCCATATGTCCTCTTAAGCCCTGCCTTGAGGCCCTGTGGTGGTTCATTGGTGAACTTGATGGACATCTGGAGAAGTGTGATGGGAAAGTGTCTGTGGACCTCAGTGGTCATCCAAAGGCGGAAGCTGTTGTTGACAAAGTCTGTCTCTGTCACAGTGTCCATGAGCTCATCCATGAAGTCCAAACCCAGGTGGCAATTCTGGAGTAAGGCCCAGCCACCCTGGGGACAAACACAGTAGTATGCCTATCATCCATGACGAAGACTATAAATGAGGAGTTCAAGAAAACCCTAAATAATTTCTATAAATTCCAAACCACATTTTTAGAGACAGAACATCTGTATTGCTAAAACAGCAGTAATATCTCACCACTCACATTAGCCATAGTTTGCTGCAGAAGCTTGCGTGCGTGGACCTCTTGTCCTTGACCCATGGATACATAACGGGTCTCGATTTTCAGCTTCTTCCCGAGTGCTATAATGGAGTCAGTTGGATCTGAGCCCATTGAAAGGAAGCAGATGAGAGGTGTTCGTGGGTCCGACTCCTCCCACATCTTCTCTAAATCAAGAATCACCCCTTCAGTGTATTTCTCCCCTACTGCGTCCATTATGTATTTACGGGCCTAAAGGAAAGAATATGATGCAAAGCAGATGTAATTTTTAAATGCTTTGTAATGCAAAGAGTTGAGCAAAGTAGTCCAATAGTATATATTGGAATAAATTTACTTTCTAGAAAGCTGAGAACTGAGATAATTCTTCAAAGCATTTTCTTTACTGGCTAACTCTTTTTACCCTTAAGGCTAGGGCAACTGTGGACTGGACTGTGAGTTTAACTAAATAAATTGGACTCCAGGCTTGTCTTCAGTGGGCCAGAAAGTTATCCATCAGTAAAACTGAATATCTTTTAGCCACTGTAAATATTCAGGCACAGCAGGCTGGAGGGTGAAAGCTGTATAACAACAAGTTACACAAGCTGCTTCTTATCTCAAGAAGAGCTTTGACCAAGCAGCTTTCAGTGAAGATTAAGAGATTATACATTCTTGTTTTGTGGTCCGTGTCTCATTTATGTAGCTGTATTTTTAAGTCAGGAGGTATCGCTTCCCAAGCTTTAAGCCATTAACTCTCAGATTAGCAACTTTAAGCCTTTTCTCTTTCTTTAGTGGTAATTATTAATTTTAATTGCAGTCTACAGTATACTATTGAAAATGCACTATGATAGAAATGAGAAAAGTAGATTTACATTGCCTGTTCTACTTGTTGTGTTGTATATTATAAAGTAGGCAAAAGCATGACCAAAAAACAGACCAGACAACCAATGTTTGGCTTTCTAATTAAAGAAAATGGATTGGGTGACCCTTAGCCATCCTATGCTGCTATAGGCTGGTTAGACTCTTCTGATGCTTTTAAAGTTTACACTGCGATATTCATACTGTTAATATTTCCCTTCTCACTCCTGTAGTTTATGTTTTGTCCTTGGTCTCTCTATGTTCTCCTTTTCTCTCTCCTCTTTACCCCTCACCAGTCGCAGTAGATGGCCTCCCTTTCTGAACCTAAACCAGCTTCTGCCAAGGACCCGATCATTAATTCTGGAGCACCGTCACCAAAGGCTTGTTCACAGGGGAACTTATAACAGTTATTACAATATTAATGTTCCAAGGAACTTTTTGTTTTGAATTGGCATTATATAAAGAAAACTGAATTTAATCATTGTATCTGTCCTCTATAGCCATGCATAAACATGTCTCTCCTTACTTGTGCGATGGTCCTGTCAGGACACCAGCAGCGTATGAGGAGCAGCCGTCTAAAACAGTCAAGAGACTGGTCATAGGAGTTTGGGACTACTTCCTCCTCTGGGGCCTCCTTGTCAAACCAAGCCTTCCACTGTTTCTCGTTACGACTTATCTGTAAGAAGACTTATCTGTGACAAAAAGCTCTGACGTGGGAAACAAATATAAAACAGGGCAAAACTTTAACTGCATTACAGCACATCAAAATCTGCAGAAAAGATAAAAGAATACTGTGAACACTTCAAACATATTTAGACACAAAGTGATCTTCAAAGTGGCCAACAAAAGAAAGCTAATAAGTAACAACAAAAAAAGACAAAAGAAGGATGAAATGTACCCTGTTTGACTATGTGCACTCCCTCGCTCTCTCTCTGTGTCTCGTCTCCCTTAACTGTTTCCGTGTCCCCCTCGTTGTCTCCTCCCGTTATCTCCCTGGTCCGTCTCATCTCCCTGAATTTTCTTTCCTCCCAGCTCCCGTGTCAAGTTGTGTGACTTGGTCTCTGTCTTAGTGATTCCTGGTTTACTTTGATAGTCTTCTGTCTGGTGTGCATCATGTTCAGTTTTGTGTCCCCGTGTCTCGTTAGTTAGATCACGTTCGGCTGGGTCCCCTCCAGTAGTTTGTTCCCTCGTTTGCCCTGGTGTGTATTTATGTCTGCGTCTCCCTCTGTCCTGTGTCGTGATCTCCCTCATTTCCCCGCTGTGTGCTCTGCCTGCCTGTGTAGTTCATGTGTATTCCCAGTTTAATAAGTTTTGTATTCCTGGCGTCCAGCAATAAAGCTGTTCTGAGTGTGAGTCTGCATTTCTGTCCTATCCTGCCTGCTTCACACAGCAATTCATGACAATATAGCTGAGGTCTCATGCATGGAAGAAGTCTTATTTATGGCACTTCATTTTATAACGAGCACAGACAGACACAACATGTAATGCGTGACCTAACTAGATGATTATGCAATAACAGGAGGCCATGAATTGACACTGCTGTAAACACCATGTGCTTCCAAGATGCGATCTGCATGTGTGATAGCACAAAATATGCCAACAGATTGTGCTAATATTGTTATGTTTATCACAACGAAGCACAAAGGAAACTAGACTAGCAGAAGTGGCATGGCAATCAGAATCAGAATCAGAATCAGAATACTTTATTGATCCCTGGGGGAAATTAAACAAGTCTGGCAATGGCACGGCAATAACCTTTTAACTGTATAACAGTGGATACAGCTCATCAATATAGCTTTAAACTCTCACATACTTTAGGATCAAATTTAGAAAAAAAAAATTGAGGATATACCCAAGACAGTTTAGCAGTCAGTCATAAGGTAACACATACATAGTGGAGGGACCAATTATTTGATCCCCTGCTGAATTTGTAAGTTGCCAATTTGTAAGTTTCACTTCCAATGAAATGAAAAACAGTCTCTATTTTTAATGGTTGTTTCATTTCAATTTAGAAAGACAGAACATCAACCAAAAATCCAGAAGAAACACATTACATAAAAGTTACAAATTGATTCACCTATCATTGTGAGAAATAAGTATTTGATCCCCAAGCAAAACATGACTTAGTTCTTAGATGCCCTTTTTGGCAGCCCAAATTACTGTCTACAGTTCAATCCACAAGATCATTTCTGAAGCAGTAGTAATTGTACTGTGCCCCGTTCTAATGCCAGACTGAAATTCACTTAACACATTAACAAGTAAAGACTGTTTTTGCTCCAAATTTATCGGAGATTCGATAATTTGAGACTGAGGGCAAGTGTTACTCTTCTAAAGGCTCACTTTTACATAACAGGTGAAATAGGCAGTTTTCCATTTTTTTTCTTGGAACAAAAACATACAAGGAAGCAAAAATTCAGTTTAATCCAATTCAATTTGATTTTAATTAAGGTTTATTTTATTGCTAACTATAGGCTTTATAAAAAAGGAACGTTTTATTTATCTTAAAACAGAGGAAGTGGATAATTTTTTGAAATAAGATGGTTGCAATATGGTCTATAATTAGATGAGACACTTAGATCAAGCAAGGAATTTAAGAAGTAATTTAATGACAGAAACCTTAAAAGCCTGTGTTATGTATCCTGTTAATAGTGACAAATAAATTATAATTAAAATTGTAGTATCACCCTGGCTACAGCGATGAAAAGAAAGTGTGTACAAAGTCAAGACGTAGAAGAAGATAACTGAACATTTTCAAACATCATCACTAAATGCTTGACTAAACCTCAAAACTTCTGTTGAATAACTTAAACTTCTGAATAACATCGAAAGTCAGACCTGTCGTCACAATAATACTGCAAGAAAACTAGCCCATTCGCTTATACCATTGGTGTGTATCTTATGAAGAAATACACAAAGCCAACTTCAATGTCACTTTGCTAAAAGCAGAACAGTTAGAAAGTCCACCACCTCCTCCTTGTCTTTCTTTTTTTCACCACCTCTCTAATCCAGAGCGTTTCACTTTAATTTGCTACACAGCTACAACATCCAGGGGGACCTCAACCAGTCCAGCTTCAGTCCAGGGCTAATCCAATAACATCTAGCAAAAACGTTCCCCACCTGTGGGTGGATGTTGTTCTTGGAAAACTGCTTATTTAGGCCCAAATTACAAACTATCACCATTGCAAAAACTTCAGGCACCGACACATATGGTGGTCAAGTCAGAATCATAAATCACCTTAAACACGCATGTTTTTATCTTTTGTAACAACAGCAATGCCATGGATAACTGTGTGTAATCGAACAAAATTAGAAAAAATTAGGCAGGTTTCCTAATAAAGCTGTATTAACAACATCTTAACAACTAGTTTCTTTAAGAAATCAAGTCACTTCAAAGGGATAAAGCAAGCCCTGCTTCTAAATCTCAATAAAAATGTACCTTTAAAACATTGCTCATATTTAGGCATGTGTGTAATCTTGAAAAAGAGTATGCCCTTTAACGACTACTTACTGCAGTCAAAAAGCTACCTGCTGCTACTTAACACACACACACACACACACACACACACACACACGCACACGCACACACACGCTCAGCCAAAAGTATTTGACTGGAAGTTTCTCCAACTAAGCTCATTTCACAGAGCACTGAGTTTTGACTCCACGGGGACCACAGTGCTGTCATTCATCCACAAGGGTGTGTGTATTTAAGTGTGAGTGACAGTCCATCATGATGAGTGTGTGTCTATGTACAAGAGGGAAATGAAGTGAGCCATGATGAGACTGATATTGACATGCTTACTAGAGCAAAGAAGAGCTGTGAAAAGTATTTAATAAGCACCTTGAGACAACTGCTGTGTATGTGAGTGTGTGAGTGTGCAGGTGTGTATGTGATAGATTAGAACTGCTATCTGAAGACTTAAAAGATAAAAGTCCAAGTGGGTAGATTTTCTGTAGGCTAAAGGACACTATCATACAGCTGTCAAGGCATGTCTAAATTGATCAAGTGTATGTTGTACCTGATCCAGTATATCAGCGAACTGCCAAAGTTTGCTGAGCTCTACAAGATTTAGCCAGGTCATGTCAAGGATCCATTTAGCTGGTTTCTGGGGGCAAGCCTTCAGATCCAAGGATGCACCTCCTGAATAATATGAACATGAACAATTACAGATATAGACACCTGCAAGTATAACTGGAGGATCCAATGCAAAAAATTCAATTTTAAACTCCCAAAATACATAACAAATGTAAAAATGTAAACCCAATCTTCAAAAACACAGAAAAAGTCATCAGAATTGTAATTTGTTGTTTATCAGGCCGGAGCTGACAGATGGTGAAGCTGCGTGCGTGCACCAGACTGTGGCTGTTCTGGTTCTGCCAGTTGCCATTGCTGGGTTTTATCCCCACAGTGAGGAGCACTCCATATCATATTCAGTGAACTGCTACAGTGTCAATATGTTCAAATTCTGCATAGTTTCTGTCATGAGGTTTAAAACCTGTCTACTCCTTGAAATAAACAATAAATATGGTTAAAGAAAAGAATAACAAACAGCAGAAACAGATGGCAATTTTAACAAACCTTCAGGCTGTTTTGATGTGAATGATAGCTTTACAGAAACCCTTGTATTTTCATTTTTATTTCAAAATGGTGTTTTAAAATAAATCTTAAGAAAAAGTAGGGAAAAACAGTTTTTGTCCAGATGAATATGTTTCAGAAATCTGTCTGTTCATTCTAACAAGCCGTAAGAAATATCATAATCATGTTTACAACCATGTGATCGATCAAACAGGAAGTAGAGTGTTGTTAGCTAAATGATCTATTCGTTAGCTGTAGAATCTTTGGTTCTGGACAATTTGTGAGTCAGCACAGCACTGGCAGCCTTCATGCACTATGTGTCTCAGTATTCAGTGATCCCGCCCTGTAACTTTACATGGTCTAACACTTTGTAGTTTAGCTGATGGTGGAATATCTAGGAGTGAAGAAATTTCCCAAACTCACTTGTTGCAACGGTGGGATGTTGTTAAATTCTTAGTACTAAGAATCTTTGTCAATACAAGCCATGTTTTTCATAGCTCAGAGCAGATGTGTTGAAACTCATAATTTTGGGTCTTAGCATTTTTATCTTTTATTTGTTTTCCTGCGTTACTGAATAGATTTCATTTGGCGTATTTTAGTAGATCATAGAAATATTGTTGCATTGTTTGATGTTATTTCATGTAACGAAAATTCTATTCTTTATATTTGTAATATGCAGTTAAATACCTAATAAATAAAGAATACTTATGCACATCTAAATGCCAGTAATCAACATGAGTTATGACCCCACTGAAACGTTCCAATATTCAAACTAACCCATGGTTGCATGTGCTCACAAAAACAACAATTTACCCGTACAAACAAAACCTTCAGTGTTTGCATCTGCCTCTTACCTTTGATGAGTGTGAGGAACTCCTCGTGTTTGACCTTGTTGCTCTGCATGTCTATCTTCAGCGTCATCAGCAAAGTGAAAAGAAACTTGTGGTCCTCATACAGGCCCCGTGCTGCGTACTTATAAACTTCAAAGGTCATGAACTCTATGATGTTGGCGATCCGTTTACTTGTGATAGGGCTTTTAGAAGACCTTTTCAGGGAAATAAACAGGTCTTCTAAATAACATAGCAACTTGAAGATTCTGTTGCTATGTCATAAAATTATACTTGCCAGTAGTAAGAGTGAGAACTTCTCTAAAATCAAATATAAACTACTAGTAATGATTGCACAACTTCATGAAGTAATAACTTGCAGGTTTTACATTAGAAAGGTATGGTGGTTTAAATGCACAATAGTTCCTTGATTTGAAGTTTGCAAAGACTTTCCAATATACATATAAACACACAACAAATTACTATGGCAAACCAATTCATTAAGCAGGAAATGGTAAATATCAGCGTATCCTCACCTGGCCAGAGAAAGGTCAAAAAGTCCCAGGAACTGTCTAAGAGACGTCTGATACATGACATTCACCATACTCATCTCTGTAATCAGGAAGTACAGGATGCTGCCCCTGGTGGCCACTGGAATCACACAGGGAAACACAAAAGCACAAACTCCAACAAAACAGTAATATCGTTCATGAGGACATTTTTAAACAGGTTTTTGAAAGAATGTTCTGTTAACTGTAGCCTCCATCCATCCATCCATTCGCGTCCGCTTATCCTGTTCAGGGTCGCGGGGGGCGCTGGAGCCTATCCCAGCTGTCATAGGGCGAAAGGCGGGGTACACCCTGGACAGGTCGCCAGTCTGTCGCAGGGCCAACACACAGAGACAGACAACCATTCGCACTCACATTCACTCGCACATTCATACCTATGGCAATATGGATTAACCAATTAACCTATCCCACTAACTGTAGCCTGTATTTTTTAAATTAAAACCAATATGTCTCACATTTGTGTAACTGAAGGCTGACTGACACTTTGCAGGCTTACTTAGAAAACACACAAAAAAGAGGGAACTTTGTTTTTAAATCATTTCATTTTCACTTACCTGGCCGGTACTCCTCTCTGGCTGCGTTGATCTGGATCTCAGTCTCTGCGGCAATCTGTAACTTCTGAGTGACTTCTTCAGCCGTACACTTCGTGTTGCTAAGGACAAGAATCAGACTCTCATCATCAACCAAGAACCCTAAAAACACACAAACAATTTTTTTTTTTTAAAAACGATTATTTTTCACAATTTATATCTTATAAAGCAAAAGAGAAAAAGAAAAAGAAGGCTGCAAACTATTCTAGTTTTAATTAAAAAACGAGAATGCACAAAACTTGGCCCCAACCTCACCCATGCAAATGAATAAAACATTTTCTCACTGGTGGCAATGTAGTTAACCATTTCTAAAAAGAACATTTCTGACACATTGCGGTTTCTTGCCTGTGTGCTCGTCAGTCGGTAGAGAAGACTGTCTTCTAGTCCTTCATCTTTCTCTTGTTAGATGTCACATCTTCCAAGAGGTCTGTCCTCTCCTTCTCCAATTCCTGGTGTCATAAAAGCAAAGAAAACACAACCACATGAGCAGATATAGCTGCAGGATGGTGCTAGAGAAAGCCTGTCATTAAATCAAAGGTCTTTGATTCTGCATTGCTCTGATGAGTTGATTCTGTCTGTGGCTTTAGACTCTTCTCCGGTGCTGTCTATCATGGTGGCCTCTGGTAGCTGTCTATATTATTCTTACTAATATCTGCAGCCGCGTGAAGGTCAAGAAGCTGAGATTTTGGCAAAAAAATTAATAAATACCTTATCTAAATGAATAGATGAGCAGAATCCTTATGAAGAATAAAACGCCCCTAGAGGAGAGATAGCCTCAGGGTGATGATAAGACCTGTAAAGCTATGTGTCGCCCTTTTCTCCGTAGTCCTAAGTAAGCCCCAGCAAATGACTCCAGCTTACCTCTTCTAAGTGTCCAAAAGTTATTTCTGCACTGGGGAAAGCAGGTCTTATCAAAATTTACACCACAGTCTTGCTGCTGGGAGCATAAATTGACCAGCATGCTAATCCCTTTAGATATGAGAGACAATAATTGTGAATTTGTTTTGAGAGTGCGAGAGATTAAACTAAAACAAATTTGTCTGTTATCTAAGTCAAATTTAATGGTGGCTCATAAGTAGGCCGACTATCCACATCCATTAAACTGACTGCCTTTAAGCGGGTATAAAAAAACAGTCACCACTTCTAAGTGGCAGTGTGTTTAAATCAATTAGATTGCTATTTTGATTGTAGATACAAGCATATTTTCCTAAGAACTGCTGTGTTGGACACTATCACAGCAGGTTGTTATCAATGATACATATAATGTAATATAATATAATATAATATGAATACACAATATTTATGAAAATGCTTTTTTTTTTACATTTCCTATAATTTACTTTACTATGAGAATTATTATGGTCAAGACAGCAGGCTGGTTTGAAACCAGTGGGTCTGAGAGACAGAATTAGTATTCATACCCTTTCTATTACTGCATATGAATGATTTCAATAGCTTACAAAGACAGATGTAAGTCATACTGGAGCTGAAAGCTGCGTAGAATGAAGTTTGACTGAAAGTAAAAAGAAACGATTCAACAGTGATGTTGGGTTTGTGAAAACTGCACAAATTGAAAGACAAGAACAGGGCTTACAGCTGAGGTAGTAGTTTTAGCTCTTATTGATTAAATCCAAATTTAGTACACAGATACAGTAACAGCCTCTCCCATCTGGAATAATCTTTCATTTCATGACCAGCTATCAGCAAAAGGAAATTGTTTTTCTGTAACAGGACCAGCCTTTTCAGAGTGACAATCAATGAGTCCTGCATTTGGTGCATTTATAATTCACTAATCTATTCCCCAGTGAACTGACGTCACTTGTCTGTGTCTTTGTGCGTATGCTTGGTACCGATACACGTGAGCACTATTTCTGGTTACTTTTATTCCCCACTCACACTGTGTTTGACCAAAGCAGGGCGGTGCAATTGTTGTATTCAAATGGCGTTCTGATGTCACAGTACAGAGAAAATGAGATTGGGAAAGATGTAGAGAGTCTGCATTTAAATGTTGTTCAAGATTATTTCAGGTTCTACAAGGATGCACATAAGCAGTATTAATGCAGGGGTACAGTCTAATAGTACATTAGCTAACCTAATTAAATATGTTCCTTAATTATGTATCGTCTGCTTTAGTGGCTACCATTTTGAGTACTTGTATACTGCTTTCAGTGAGGATGACTCTGCCAGCAGCTGGTCCTCCAGTCCTCTCATGGTGACAGTGAAGTCAATGATGGAGGTGCGAGCACTTATTCAGAGTGTAAGCCGGGTTAGGCAGCTTGGTGTCATATACAACCTGAAGCCCTCATCACATCCACTTCTTTGTCACCAAGCTTCACCTGCAAGAGGGTGTATGTGTGTTATTGTTTAGAATATTAAGTCTACAAATAACATAATAAGAGGCTCAGAGTTGGAATTACTGGTTGGAGTTCTGGTTTCCATTGGAAATTAATGTGGTGTATTTGGATGCTAAAAGTTCATATTTTTAGCATCCAAAAGTGCAGAATTAATTTAGAGTGTTCTCATTTGTGTTTTCAGGAAATTGGAATTGTTCAAATCTTTATTAGCAACACAGAAAAGACATTTGCGCACAATATAAATGTTTTTTCTCCAAAAGCGCAAACCATTTTTTCCATTAAAAACATATGAATGTCCTGTTGTACCCAGAGTCTACTTCCAAAGCTTAATTTGGGGTCGTCATTTAGGCTAATGAAACCAAAACCACTCAAACTGTGATCTGCAATTTTCCCAACTACAATTATCTCAACATTACATAAAACTGAAGCTGCAATAGAGTCAAAATCGGTGCATTTCGCATCTCAGGAACAGGAAGCACTCTGCAAAAGTATGCTGCAATTTCAGCCTTCCATCCTGTAAAATCATTTGATTTTTTATTTTTGTTTTTTTACTAACATGCCCCAAACACCCACAACTCACGCAACAGCATCAGGTAGCTCCAGTTTGTTTATTTCGCCCCCAAAAATAATATCATTCAAATCAACCAACATCCATCTGCACTGGCTCAATGCTCCACAGCCTGAACTCCTTTGCATTAGAATGTGAGCTAATACAGGATACCGAATGCACTTTGTGTACTGTATTTATTTGATGTTACTTTAACAACTGATTGAGTTCGATTTATGTGGTGAATTAACTTGTTTGGCATCAACAAAAATGATGGAAATAAAAAAGAAAAGGAAGTTCATATGCAACAGAAGTCTGTTAAAGTATCGACACTTGCCCTTGTTCTAAGTGGTGACATATTGAATGTTTGTTTCCCTGAGTATGTCTTAAAATTTATATTTTTATTGTATTTTTGTTAATGTAGCTTTCAAAACTGTCTGAACACCCAAAGCAGAGTCAAGAGAACCAACTGTGCTTTTTGACAAGATCTAATGATGCCGACCTTCTATAAAAAACAGCAAAATAAAGGAGAAATAGTACAATGTACACTGCACAGTGTAAACCCTTTCCCAGACTTACCAAGTACATTTAATCTGTCTCAAAAGAATTAATATGATCTAGGAAATGTGGTCTGGCTGCCAATGATACTCATACTTAAAACTCTCTTCTAGTCGACACTACTGTGCAGTGTCAGCGAGAGAGCTTGTTTTTCTCTGTCTGAGCTAATCAAGCTCTATCAGTCCAGTGTGACAGCTGGCGTGCCAAGGAGAAGCTGGCAAAGTCTCATATACTGACCACTAGTCTTTGAACATGCCTGCCAATTTCATACCCTTCTAACTAAAAGTAAAATCTAACACATGGATCTAAGTAGGATTATTTCGTTCTGTGTTGTTACCTTGTAAGTGGAGCCGGTTTTGATGAGTTTCTCAAGTATGTTTCAAGCGCAGGGTCCAACTCTCCCCCACATCCTCAATCAAAAGGGTCGACCAAGAGACAAACTGTCCTCTAGGTGGTTCTTGAAGTACTTGTGATTCAGTGAGGTGATCTGAGATCAGACAAGAAAACACATTTTAAAATGGTAATTGTCTGATTTCAATGTGCAGTTTGGATGACCACCACCACAGAGCCTGATATTGTCCTGAGATATGAAATAATGGCTAAATGTGAAAGATTTTACAAAACAGACAAAATACTGATTTACTGTACGATACAATAACCTTCCTATGTGACCACAGCAGCAATAATATTGTCTCCAACAGAGTAGGAGACACATGTGTGGTTTCCTCACTTTTCCTTCAAAGCTACAAAGTCAGCCTCTATGTGCGGATTCTGACTGTTCAAGCTAACAAGAATTGCTTTTCAAGTGAGCCATTTTAGAAAAAAAAAAATAACTTTTCTAATGATGGACCTGAAGAAGGGTGAAACCTACCGCTGGAGGAAATGTGTCTCCAGGATGCTCATAATGGGATTTCAGAATGCATTCACTCGGCTTAGAGATTGCCCCTAACAGGTCAGCGACTTTTGCTTAGCTTATTATGTCTGCAGAATTGGTGGTAGTTTTTTTGTGGGGGTTTTGACATTGTGCTCTGTATACTGATAGCAGGAAGGACAAGGGCATTAAAGAATTTAGGTACCGACAGTTACTAACAAGCAATGATGATCACAAGGCCAGTAACATTGTGGGATGGAGCGCACTCTCTAAATGTGGTGTCAGAGAGAAGGATGTTTCCAAGATAAGGACAATGCTGGACAATACCTCCCACCCAGTCACAGGACACGTTCAGTAGAGACTGAGATACCCAAATGCACCACTGAAGACACAGGAAATAATTCCTGCCGGTGGCTCTCTCTCTGTAAAATTCATGAATCTAAACCACCAGTACACACGCAGTAGTGCACCACTTATGATCTGCACATCCTATACAGAAATAAGGGCACTGCAATTTCATTTGTCTAATCATGTGTCAATATATGGGATATTATAATTGGAGCTATTTCGTTTTAAGCTGTTTGTCATTTTAAATTAGTATATCATGGTACTTAACTGGTAGTAACTGTCTTACTGAACTGTGAACACACAATCCTCTAGGATTGATCGATATTAGAGGCCCACTAAAATCAAAATGGCACAGGACATTGGACTGGTGAAGAAGACAGGTAATATGCAAAAGTCTGCATGACGGATGGATGAAGGATGCATCATAACTTTTATATGCTTCAGACATGAAACGAAATGTAGAAGATATTTGCAACCTGTAGCTCATCTGGCTTCTTTGTCTGATCCAGATTTCCCCTGGTCGTGGGTCAATAAGGAGGGGAACGGCAGCTTTGGTACAATAATGCCATGTGAAGGACAGGTCATCATTTGGCAAACCCTGTAAGACACAACAGAATAAATGGTGAGGGTCAATCTTGAGCTTAACAGTATCCACCATGATAAATGTCCAGCATCAATGTTCCTGGATCCTCGTTTAAATAAATAAAAGAATTAGCACTACCAGGCACCCATCAGCGTTTAGTAGCACCTATGGTATCAGTTTAAAAATCCTAAATTGTCTGGTTTCAAGTTATCTGATTAACAACTGGGCGTCCACACCACCCGGTTGGCGACCCAGCAGACTGACAACAACACCATATCACGTTTACTGCTGAGGGGTAAAAAAAAATGACTGTTAACATAAACTAACATTACACAAACGTAAAACACTAAGCTAACAAAAAGTAGCAATTCAGTTAGATTCCCATATATTCACAAAACTATTCAACTACTAACACTACATACTGTTACTACAACCAACAATAATAAATGACGCTATCAGTTAATTTAATTAACCTAATTACCTTATTTCCGCAGGATTTAAGGTGCACATAAAATCCTTAATTTCTCAAAATCGACAGTGAGCCTTATGTATGAATTCTGGTTGTGCCGATTTTATGTGGTACACAGCACTCAAAAATCGTCAAAACATGTTAGTACAACATGTTGGTAAGCTACGAAGAATTGATTGTCAGAGCGTTATGACAACCGTAGTCAAGAGCCTGCGGAACAATCTGGGTCCAAAACTCCGTCAGTTCAGACAGGTCCAAAGTCGAACAACAGTGCGACATCAACAGAGAGTTAACTGTCTAAATTCTTCACATTAATAAAATGATCAGCGTTGCTGATTACCAGGTGTAACGATACGTTTAACATACAGGCATCCATGAAAACAGAATTATAAGATATAGTTATAGGTTAGATAGAGTTATAGGTTAGCAGGAAGTTAGCTCGCTAGTTCCGTCTAAACATGAATACCATGTTATGACTGAGAGATTTCTGAAAAAAATTAAACATACAGCTCTGCTATGGCTTCCAGCATAAATGAAGACAGAAAACTAAACAGCAGTGATGCTTGTAGGGTTACTGGGTTGGGCTAGCTGTATATTGGGTTGGGCTAGCTGGTATATAATGCTGTGCTACATACATGTGGCATTAATATGTAAAAACATCTTTAATTAGCAAAATAGATCACTGACCTGAAGGTCCATTCACTAACTGTGGGCGCATCAATGAGCAGTTCAGTCAGATTGAGGTGTTACCAAACGGGATGTAACGTTGCTTCAGCTCTCGCTGCCAGTCGTTCAGCAGAAGGTTACGAAACTCCTGATGAAAGGTCCTGAGTAAGAAAGAAAGGCTGTGGCCAGAAGAACATCACCTGGAACAGGAACAAGCGTTGTTTACGTGTACATACTTATCAGTACACATCAGTGTATCAGTACATATTAATCAGATGTGGCACTGCCTATGCACTGAAATGAGAACATGCCTAAATATTAGTGGGGTAATTAAAAAGTGCAAGAAATTCCATGTCAAACAGTAGCATCACGACCATCCCGCGATAAATTAAAAACATTAGCATACAATAACGACATGACAGATTAAGGTTATAACTCCAATATAACTGCATCATCAGACAGAGATTTCACTTCACTGCACATATTTATCCACAGAACATTTCCCATATCACACAAAGAACTTCATATATATGATAGATATTGTTATTATTGCAGAGGCTAACTCATGTTTTTGAAACCTGCTGTGAAACCCACCCACGAGCCGTTGGTTTGGACAGCAAACTCTTGCTCTGTTCCGTCCATCTCTCCTTCTCGCCACGAGACCGCTGATGAGACTGGACGCTGTCTGCATCTGTGTCTGGCAGCGCCAGCATCCTCCAGCAGCGGTCTGATGGGAAGGGGCCCGCAAACAGGTCAGTAGGTTGATGGTCTATTTAGCCTGTGGTGTCTGTCCAAGTGTGTCTGCCTCTATCCAAGTCTATCCACCATCTGCACATTCGTGGATTAAACCCCTAAAAGCTCATCTCGTTCATCAGAATTACATACCCATCATCATTATCTAACTTAGTACGCATGAATCTAAGAATATTGCCTCTCCCTCAGCTGCTCACCAGCGAACTGCCCCTCACTGCATGCGCAAGCCACACTTAGTTTTTTTGCTGACAGAGAGGGACACAGTGCCCTCCACACTGCTGAAGTGTGTGCTTGTTAAGCAGAGAGAAAAACCGAGGCTCTTCTGTAAATCAAGAGACTATAAAGGAGAGGTGGTGCTGTTCCAACAGGTCACAGGAAAAGAAGTAGTGATGTCAGGAACACAGTGACTTGGCAAAATAAAGAAAAATGCTGGGTTAAATTGTGATTACAAACAAAGCATACAAATGCAGACAGATTAACACGTCCTGGGAAGCTTGTATTGCCCCAAGCTATTGTTGTTAATGTTATCTTCACTTTATCTGTCTTCTTTTGCTTTCCAGGACTCATTTTTAAAAAAAATATTTTACCACTTTATAAAGGGGAAATATTGAAAAAGGCATGTGGCCTGTGCTATGAAGCAGAATTTCATCTTATCCTGGTACTTTCAGGGCTAACCCTGAGTTTTTTGTATTATGAAGGTGGTTTACTTTACCGAGTTATATCACCATGGTAAATTATGCTGCAAATCTAACTTGCCTTTTAAACATAATTGAATTAAACACTTGATTACAGTCCATCAGATTCTGTTTAGATCATCAGTATCTTAATGACTGAGCTATGATATTTTTAAGCATGTCTGTTTCCTTCCCATGAGCCTAGTGTTCCCAGTCTTCATCCAGAGAGCCATCTAGATTTCCAGTTCTTTTTCTGTTTTTTGCCTTTTATTGTTTAGTTATGGACTTCGACTGCATTCCTAATAAAGCTTGCTTTCTGTTTTACATCGAGACTTTGGTCTTCACTTGGAGCCACTCCTGTCCATCATCAACACCAAATGCCTTTGCAACGAGCCTTTCAGTCTCACTTTTAGCCCTGGAAGATGAACAGTCTCTGCATCTTAATCATGACATTATAACCTGTTCCCGTCCTGGTCTCTTAATCAGGGAGTCTTGATTCACTTGCTGTTCCATTAAGATGTTACATTTCACATCACAAAGTGTACTGAACATGGGAAAACACAGACCAGATGCTCTCACAGACCTCCACAGAGGATTAACCGGTGTTACTCAGTCACTTCAGTAACTAAGGTTCAGTCCTTTTTTTCCTTTTAGCCAGGCTGTCACAGATCTTATGGTACATTTGTCATACTGTACATACTGCAGTTTATAATAATATTGTTATTACATCAGTGGCACATTGATATTCTCAAAAAACATTTTGCTTTCTTGAAGAACGTGGGAAAAAATATCATGTAACAAATAATAAACACAGTTTATCCCCTATAGTAATTGTTGCACTTTCAAATAAAAGATAAAAGGTATTAAATTCCTATATCAGGAGCAACACACAGGTTTTGTGTACTGAACTAAATTACAGTTGTGTTTTGATGAAGTTGCTGACCTGTTTCTCCATCATTGCTTTCTCATATTCCCCCTGTACCACATCAAGCTCTGCCTGCTTGGCGTCTAGCTCAGCCTGAGCTTTCTGAAGGTCCGCATTAGCTATGGTCAGACGATTCTCCTGCACGGCCAAGTTAGCCTAGAAAAAACAGAGAAAAACAATGAAAGAGTGTGGAGGGGAGAGCTGTGATGGTTTGTTTGTTTGCTTTGTTTTTTGCACATTAAAAGCTTCAGGTAAAAAAGAGAAAAAGTCATTAAATAGTTAAATGGTTAGTGGGATGCCAGTTTATCTCACAGCATGCGCAACCCACAAAGATTAAATGCAGCAGCCAGCGTTCAACTCTAACCCATGGCCTCAGTTACCAGTGTGCTATCTAATAGAGGCAGAAATGTCTGAAAATGGTTAGTAAGATATTTTAGAAGAATGGACATAAACACTGAAAGAAAGAGTTTGAAGATGACAGAAGTAAGCAAAAAGATAGTTTGTGTATAGAGCTAGGGTTGTAGAGAAAGAAAAGAAAATCCCGTCTCATCTTTCTGCATGTCTGTCCATTCGACTGTATCTCTGTATCCAGCTTAAAGGGAAAACACCACTGGGCTCGAAACCAGAAAATCTGTTTTGTAGGCTGTGCTCCACAAAAGGTCAAAATAAAACAACAGTGCCGAGGGATGTGTATATATGTAGCTGTGTGTGAGTGTGTTTGGAGGGGGATTAGGGAAACAAAGTGGAAAGGAGGAAAAAGAAATTGGTGGCTAGAGCAAAAAGAATAGAATGCAGTTAAGAAAAGAGAGAGGTGTTGAATGAGAACTAACAAGGGTGACAGCAACAGATGTCATCATCAGGCAACATTTCCAAAAGCATAAATGTACACTGTAAATGCCTTTAAATGACTATGACCCATCAGACATTCACAGCAGCTTGTATTTACTTGTAGTTAACCGAGTGGGTGATTCTTCAGAAGAATTTTGCCTTTTGTGTTGGTGAAAGCACATGTTACAGCCATGGGTCACCTCGCTCTTTCATCTGGCGTGATTAGCCCTGTCTGTTTTGTATGCTTATTAGCATGTGCAAGCCCCTGTTAATGATTGGTGCCTGGACTTGTCTCTCATCCTGCCTCCTGGCCTGCTCTGCGTTCTCTCACGAATGACTGGACAGTTGCCCCGGTGCAGTGGTTCAACTGGAATACAGCACTAATCACAGCAGCCGCTTTAAAAGAGCTGCCACTTTGCTATTCAGGACAGTGTGAACAACGTGCCATGCTGTGTTTCCTGATTGGCATGAACTAAAGGTTGCTTGTTAGCTAGTTTTGTATTGTTTGTAGCTAACAAGCTTCTGCAAGCAACTCTGTGTAGTGCTTCTCATGATTCTGTAACCTCTTCCGTTGACCAAGCTCGGCACACTCATCCAACTAGAGACACTCAGTTTAGAGGGTGACTAGTTAAGTAAGTTTGTCCCTTTAAAAAATGATAAGTAAAAGAGAGATTAGTTGAAGTAAAGTTCAGTTGCTTCTGGTTAGAAAGCGGTCATTGGCACTGTCTGGCATCTTTATATCCACTTTTCCATTGTGCTTAGACTACATTATCTCTAAACATATTTTCTAAATTTCTATATTTTTTTGACCAAATAATTTTCTGTTTTGGAAGAATTAACTGCTGAATAAGGTAAGGCTGAATATTAACACTTTAGAAACGTTCTAACATTGAAAATGTTAGCTCTGTATTCTCTACTAAGTCATAAGTCCTTTTTCCCCAAAACAGCCACAGATCAAGAAAATGTTTGATTTAAAGGTCAATCATGGATGCAATACACCGTTTTTCTTTTTGTTAAACACTTTACTTTGCCTTTAGTGGCTGATTTTGCTGATCCATTTAGTTGTCAAAAATGGCACACACAAAAAAATGACAAAAATAAAGATTTAGTATGTTTGTATTTTATCTCTGGGGTAAGCATGAAGGTGAGAGAAGGCTCAGCTGGTAAGCTTTTAGCTTACACAACTTGTGATGCTGTGCAGTAATAATCAAGACTTTGCACATATTTTCTGCAGATATCAGATCTGGGTGTGTGGATTTAATAATTCATAATTAATAATTGAATAATTCACAGGGATTCCAGTGACATAAAGCGAATAAATAGTGCAGCCTGCTGCATAAATAAGCAGTCTTTGAGCACAAGGAGTCTGAGGAAATCCATTTTCAGGCTTGTATCACAAGATTAAAAACGTAAGCCTTGAAAATCTGAGATGCACCCAATGTTTATAATCAGTGGATAAATACTTCTGAATTTTGCTGCACTTCAAACTTCTACCATCAGCAAATTATTGCTGCTGCAGTGTGGAAATGTGCCTTTTTGTGCTTTTGTGGCTTGTGGTTTTTCTACAGAATGAAATGTTTCATATATCAGATTGGGAGAATAGTCCAAAAAGTGTGTGTGTGTCCCTAATGTTACACATTTTAGGAGGTGTTTCATAATACATATTTGTAAGGGTGAGTTTAACTTACAGATGCCAATTGGTAGTCAGTGGAATAGTAGATTATTCAGTTCACTTTCTGCTTTTCTGAGGAAGCACTCTACTAGATCTGCAATAATGTTTGTTACCTTCAAGGGCAAGACCTCCTTGTTGATGGAAAAGAAGGAAGCCATGGCTTTGGTCCAGGATGCTATGCCAGCTACATTGCCACACACCCTCTTGGCTGTTTCGATGTTGTAGTCAGGCATTTCGAAATAAGGCTGCAGGAGCTCCACAGTTTCCCTATTAATGCTGTCCTTGGGGAATTGCTTCAGGAGGAGAAAAGAGGCAGAAAAAACAGAATGAGTATGCGGCGGTTTAATCTGGGACTTATTTCAGCCTGTGCATTTAGACAAATGCTGAAAATGCAAAGCTATACAAAACCAGAGAAAATGAAAAAATACATACTGAAAGGGACAAAGACAGAAAATAGAGCATGTACTCAATTGAGACCAAAATTGCATCAGGATGAAAAAAAAACTATTTAAATCAGGGCATCAATGGGTTATGTTTAAAATAAAAGGTGTTTACAAATAAATATTTTAATAAGACATGAACCACTTTTATGGAAGTGCAGAGACTAAACTCTTAAGAGTCTAAGTTTAGCCCTTTCTATTATGTAGAATGTAGCTTTCATTCATGTTAAACATGGCAAATAACACAAAGCATAAATCCTGAATCATGTGTTGAGATAATATGAGCACTTCAGTCTTAACTATATACAAATTAAATAAATGTTACTGCACCTGCAGACTGCCCAGGAAGTTTCCAGCAGTCATGAGTTTTAATGACTCCTGCCATGAAGGAGTGTTGCAGTTCTTCTCTGGGTCAACTTTCACAGGGTTGACCTTCCTCTGGAAGAGCAGCAGCACGCAGTCCATGATCCGCATGATGAGGTGAGGGGGGCGACCGAGTGTCCGTACTGTGGCAATATCCGACGGTTTAATTGTCTATGTGGGCAAAGAGGACAAACGGAGAGCGGGAGAATTTAGAACAGTCATTTACTGTATGGCATGACCCCGATGGGAGAGCTGGAAACATGTGACAAGTAAGTCGAGTAAGGATTTGACGCCAGCAAACTGGACAAACGCAGAGCATGTTAGGAGACGATTAGAGCAGCGCGTTACTATGACGAGAACAAAGGATAAATCATTTGTTTCTCATTACCGTGTTCAAAGAAGAGACAGATACATTAATGAGGATTATACCTAATTCTCCAGTTTCAGAATATAAAAGCAGAGGAGGTGTGCAGAGGGAAACAACACGACGACTGTAAGTATAAACTGTGGCAGAATGAGAGGAGTTCAGGAGAGGGTGACACAGGATTTCCTCCAGGGACTGATTAAAACAAGAGACAGCAGACCAGTAAAGAAAATGTTCCTGTGAGAACTGTTCGGCTGCTTTACTCTCTTCTTATCTTTTCTTGTTTTGCACTTCCCATTTCTGTTCTCTCTTCCTTGCTCCATTTCCACTCAGTGCAAGCCTGAATTTCCCACTAGAGTGTCAGCCACCAGACAGTCTGGGTTATCATGTACTTCTACTTTCACTAGCCTATATCCTCTATTCTCCTACAGCTTCTTATGAAAATCTCTCACTAAGCCCATTGTTACAAAATAAAATCATCACTCCAGTTCAGCAAGAACTACAAAAACTAAACCATTTTATGCTTTACTGTCATCATTAATCCACTGTAACTATTAGCAAATCAGCTCCTTTTGTATGACAAGGAAATGTTATAGAATGGTACCGTTACCTTGAGTTTGCACACACACAAACTCGGTCCTTTTAAAGGCTGGGTGAATATCCAAATTAATCAGGAAACAGAACCGGTCGGTGAATATTTTAATGTGACAGTGTGGTATGAAAAGCCTGAAGAAAGGAAACATGAATTCCTTCAACTCCTCTGCCACTAAAACTGATGTTCTTGAATAAGTTAGAAAATATCTTTTACTTTAATCTCGCTATACTGCAGAACACCAGCAACATTAGGAAGAGTCTTGGGTTGTTTTTAGAAATCCGAGGTTTCTATATGCAGTTGCACGATAACATTTTTTTAATGAGGGAATTGCCACAGGAGCTCTGCATGCAACCATCTACCCAGGAGGACAGCTTTAATTACAATGCAGCTAGAGGCACCAGACGACCATACTAAGTTTAGACACACCAGGACAGTAAAGCTGCAGGCAGAAACATTCATACAGCTTCACACATTAAGTCACAGAGGGCTTTAAGTGGCACCCTGAAGCAATACATAGTAAAAGAGCAGGAGAAATCTAAATTGGGTAAATGTAAGTCACACATTAAAGCACAAAAAGACTGCCCTCACTTTTTTAAATATTCAAGTTATATTGTAGGGTTAGATCATGAAGGCAAAAGCAAATATGCTTTGCTTTACTGGATCAAACATGCTTACATTCACCCCCTAAAGCTGTGACACAGGAAAAACTCTGCTTATGAGTGAAATAATCTAATAGCTACAAGACTCGTGGTGTCTACAAGATGAACTTTGATGACTCTGGTGATCTCCCGCCTTTTTTCACTGGCACTAACATTAGGGTGACATTTGGCTCATGAAAGCCAGTTCAGACAACGATGTCACGTTGCTGTTGAATGATTAATTGCAATCATTTTTCCAGCACATTTTGTAATCTTCAGATCATTTTAATTTGTCTCGTTAAGTGATTTATGATCAACTACCTGCAAAACTAATTATCCTATAATACACCCCCGGTCCAACACACACACGCACACACACACACTCACACTCACCGCCAATGTGGTACTCAAAAAAAAATACTCAGGTTTAACATTTAAACTGAAATGGTTCGTATAGCATGTTGTGAATCTCTAGCATGGCTATAGGCTCTGAGTGATTTAAAAGAAAAACAAACAAACAAACAAACAAAAAAGACGTCTGAACGTAGATATGTCTACCTGAGAAATTTAAGTCTGGAGGGAAGCCTTGGAGGCATGTATTCAACATTGCTGTTTCAACATCCCATACCTGCAGCGCAGCCTCTGCCTCCTCGAGAGCTGGCCGGGCAGCTTCGAGTTTCTCCTCAGCGATGGCCTTGTCAGCTGAAATGCTGTCCACAATGGCCTGCGCCTTGTCCTTCACCTTTTGTACCTCTACCTTCACTCGCTCTGCTGCCTGGGCTTTTACTGTCACCTCCTTCAACACCTGCACAAGAAAACAAACACACATTATAAGTGACAGAGAAATGATTTGAAGCTGGGAGACTTTCTCAGCTGAGAAAAGATCGTAAGTGTGGTTAAGTAGAAAACAGAATGCTCAATCCAATGGGAGATGGCAGATCTGAGCATTTGTAACACTGAAGAGGCTCTACCTGATATAGAGGTCTCTGTATAACAAGAGTGAGTGTTCACGAATGGAGGGAAAAAAAGAGACGGCTTAAACTGCTTCACTTATGCTGAAGCATGACTGTAAAAAATACACATTCGTCCCATTAAACATCTATTTGTCTTATTTCTCTCACTGCAAGAGGGTAATTTTACGCAACAATACAATATTCCCCAAACAATCACTGGAAAGCCTGATTCCCAGCAACGGACACAATAAACACTTCATCTCTTCATTCTGTGTTCACTTTCTTATTAATGCATGAAACTTATATTAGTGTCTAATACAAACTAGCATGTATCCATTCAATTCTGTTGATTAGTTCATAGACCGTGTTGCTGTTTTTAAAAATGCAACTAAAAAGCCAGCTGAAGCATTCTGTATGCTTGTTGAACCTTAAACCCACACACATACAAATAAAAATCCCTCCCTGCCTACAAACGTACCATATCAGCCTTGTCATTGGCAATCTGTAGCTCCTTCTCTTTCACCTCCAGTTCTTTGCTGAGAGCTGCCACTGACACCGATGCCTCCTTCAGCTTTTGGAGACCAGTATTCATCCTGAAGAGGAGAAATTTTGAATACAGTTGATCAAGTCAAATATGATTACAGCAAACTTGTTGCTTCTGTGTACTGTCTGTCTACTATCTGGGTTTCTGTTTGCTTAAATGGCAACACAACTTGCATATGTTATCATTTGCACAACATTGTTGAACTCATTTTGAACAATTTACCTGTTGGCCAAAGTCTGAACTTCAGACCTCTTTTCTTTATAGATGGTTTTGTAGCCTTGAATGAAGGATAAATAAGACTTGGGTGTGACATGGGTGGAGCGTCGGTATCTAAATTCAAACAAATTGGGTTACATTAATACTGCAACATGCTAAATATTATGACAATCATCATGCGTTGCAGACACACATAAAACAATCTTCACATATATGCATATAATCTTCAAACACACATATATATATATATACATATATATTAGGGGTGCAACGATATTCGTATCGATATTGAACCGTTCGATACAGTGCTTTCGGTTCGGTACGCATATGTATCGAACAATACAACATTTGTAATTTATTTTATCAACTTTCCTTCTGACGATGCTGTCTGTGTGGAGCGCTCAGTGAATCTGCGTTCGACTACTCCGCCTAGGCTGCACTGTCGAGCGCAGATCCACTGAGCGCTCCACACAGACAGCATTGTCAGAAGGAAGAGCGCAGGGCAAGCTAGCGAGACAGAAGTTAAGCTCTCCTTGCAACATGGCAAATTGAACCTCCCCCACCCTCATTCAGATCTGGCGTTTGGAATTATTTTGGTTTTCATGTGACGTATGACCCTGAAGGTAAGCACGTCATGGACTAAAGTAAAACAGTATGTTGGATGTGCCACGCAATGCTCAATTACATGGGTGGGAGCTAGTGTGTTAGCGCAGTTAGTTCGTTAACGTGTTGGCCGTCGCCCCATGCACGGGGCTATCAGGGGTAGCTCGTTAACGGAGATTTGCCGTGTTGTGGCGTTAAGGTCATTTTAACGAGATTAACCTGAAAGCA